CCCCAAATTCTAGATTAAAAAAAAAATAGGGTAGGTTGTTTAGAAAATGAATGGGCAGATTTTGTATCATCTCAATTTTATGAGTAGTATAGTAAAGCTTATAGAATACGGTCCTTTAATACCATGTGCCACCCTGGAAGGGCCTCCTAGTACCAGATATACATACCATTCATTGGCTTAATTCATTCTGTGGTTCTCCCAATTGGTCCAACAGACACTGCTGCATCACCTTATTCTTCAGGCTCTTGCTTCTGACTCTGATTAGTCCCTGACTTCTGCTCCACTCGCCCTCCAGTCCGGTTGACTTCACTAGTGCTATTCATTGCCAAGTACCTGACTGGGCCAACCTCCAGAATTTGCTCTAGCCTCGCCAGCCCTGGTTCGGCATCAAGCTCGATTGACTGCTCAAGCAACCCTCTTCTGCCCCCTTCTGTCACAAGTCTGCATGTGCACAGCTTGACTCAGGCAACAAAATCTTATTCATTCATTCATTCAGTAGCAATTCATTGATTACCTGTTAAGTACCAAGTATTGTACTAGGTGCTTGTGATATATCAGTGAATAACACAGAAAAAAATGTCTGTACTTACAAAGCTTGCAAATGAGAACTTTATCTCAGTCCATCCCCGCACCTTGAAGGAAACGCTTTCAGGTTTTTGTAGCACATGCCTTAAGTAACAGTTTATAAAGCAGCCAGGTTATAAAATGGTTCCCTACCATACCGATTTTGATTCAAATGGGCTCTGTCTTGGCGCTCACTCAATTGGACTTAGTATTAGGTGCATGAAAGGCTGAAACATTGCTGTTCCATTTATGATATGTCTCAAAACACACTGAGGCTCCAATTAAAAACAACACATATTTAAATTTTTATCTTCAATAAAGAAATGCTTATTAGGTCAGGTTCCCTAGAACAGACTCTGAGACAGGAATTTAGGTATATGTGATTTACTGAAGGAGTGTTCCTCAGGAAATAGAGGGAATAGAGTAAGCATTATAGGGAACAGAGTTAACAAGGACAAGGTCAAAGTCAAGTTTAGCCTTGATCTGATCGGTGGGGAGGCTCTGGCATGTACATTATTATACCTTAGAGATTCCCCACCTTCCAGGCCAGATTACTGTGTTAGCAGAGAACAATACTCTAGAGAAGAGGCAGTGGCCAATTAGCAGCCAGCACTCCCAGAAGCTGCGAGATGGATGCACCAGCCAGGTAAAGGGGTTCTGGCCGAGGCACCAACACTGCCTTTCAGAGTGTACTGTCTGGGATCCCCGGCATGAGAAAACATTGATGGCCTTAAAGAAATATCTATGGATTCATGACTTTGAAAACTTTTTATTTTTTTAGCATCTCCTAAATTCCAGAAAATGGTGAGATTAGTATGCTGAAGAATATGACATGCTTGCTATCATTAGCCAATACATGGACTAAGAGTGGAAGTAGTCAGAGACATAGAAGCGTTAAGGTAGTGTGACATGATGCCTGGCAGAGTCACGTCAAGTACATTCTGGGGTATAACATGGGAGCAATATTCACTCAACCCAAATGGTGGCTGGGGAGAGGGTCAGGGAAAGTTTCTGTGTCACGTGACATCACAGCCATCCTAGTCAGGGCCCTTCATCGAATCTTTTCCTGTTGTATTATTTCCTGTGGTTGTCATAATAAATGACCACAAACGGGTGGATTAAACAACAGAAATGTATTCTCACAGTTCTGGATCCCAGAAGTCTGAAATCAAAATTAGGCTGTGCTCCCTCTCAAGGTTCTAAGGGAGAGTCCTTTTTCTTTTCTTTCTTTTTTTTTTTTTCTTTGCCTCTCCTGGCTTCTGAGGACTCTGGACATTTCTTGTTTGTTTGTTTGTTTTTTGTTGTTGTTCTTTGTTTTTTTTAGCTGAGCCATCCTGACACCTGTTGGCAGCTCAGTGGCAGCTCAGCTCAGGCTGGGAATTGAACCGGCGACCCTGTTGCTCAGAGCTCACACTCTTGAGCGAGCTCTTAACCAACTGAGCCAATCGGCCGGCCCGACTCTGGACATTTCTTGGCTTCTAGCTGCATCACTTGAATCAGTACCTCCTTCTCACATGGCCTTCTCTCTCTTTCTCTCTCTCTCTCTCTCTCTCTCTCTCTCTCTCTCTCTCTCTCTCTCTCTCTCTCTGTGTTTTCTCCTTTTCTGTTTCTTATAAGGACTTTGTCAATGGATTTAGGACCCACCCTGATCATCCAAGTAGATCTAACCTCAAGATCTTTAATTTAATTACGTCTTCAAAGGTCCTTTTTCCAAATAAGTTCATATTTACAGGTTCTTGGCATTAGGATGTGGATATATCTTTTTGGAGGCCGCCATCCAACCCAATACCTCACTATCAGTTAAACTGTTTCCTATCCAAAATGGCAAGGGGCATTGAGTTTAAGCTTCTATAATTAATTGTTAGGTAATGGGGGCAGGGGCCTCCAAGGTGTGAACCCACAATGTTATGGTTCCCAATTACAGCCACCTTTTAGGATGCCAACTGGATTGAAAGCTTTTAAACCTTCTAAACCCAAAGCCTATTATTAACTCCCTTTCCATGAAAAGTAAGGGCTCCTCATCTTACAGTCACCCTTCCAGTGGAGGAGACTTGCAGTAATTCCAAGAGTCAATTTCTCTTTTCAGGAAGACCGCACACAATGGTGCCAAGCAGTTCATTCAGTTTTCTGTCTAAGCAATTCATTCATAATTCATTACTGGTGAGGCAACCTGCTGAACAGTGGCAGTGACAAGTGGAAGCAGTGGATGGTGGGAGAGTTATTTAGGAAGTATGGCATTATGGGGCTTGGTAAATAATTGGGCATGTTTGTGAGAATCAAGGAAGATCCAAGGAAGACTGCAAGGCCTGGGTGGGCGGGTCAAGATGTTGAGTTTAGCGTTAAATATGCTGAATCTGAGGAAGCAGTAGCTTTTCTAGGTGATAAGAAATTATTAAACTGATGGCTGATGGATCTCTAACTTTTTAAGTAATTATTACAGAACACTGCTTTTATTATTATTATTATTATTATTATTGAAAGATACGATGAGAATTGTTTAAGTGTATCATGCGGGGTTTGAGTTGCATCCTTAAAGTTTTAACTCAACATTCTACACACCAATATTCCCTAAATGTGGTGCTAGGTACCAGCTATTTTTTTTTAAACTTGAAGCATGTTTTAAATATAAGTAATATTATTTCATGCTTAGTATTTTTGCCTGATTCTTAATTTTTATTTGTTTTAAAAGGAAGTAGAGATTTGAAAATCTCCCTGTATTTTCATTTTCCCTTTTCATATTCTCACCAATTAAGCATTTAAACACAAGCAGTCCACTTATACTTTACATTTTTTTCCTATTCCTTCCATCTTATACACGCTCTTCTTAAATCAGTGAGAGGAGAAACGAGCTTTGTTATTGGTCTTTCTCTTTTCCATAGGGCGAGAATTATACTTACAAGGACTGTCCTTCCTACTTCTTTGGAAACAGTGACATAATTATAATTATTGTGAACTCGCAAGTATGACATTGATTTACAACTTTGTTTGTACTCATGATTGCCTTTCAAATGACTCCACTTTTCACACCACTTTAGCAGATGAAGGACTTACTAAGGTGGCACTAGTATTATAACAAATAATGAGTAAGGATAACACCTTAATATTTTATTCTATTTTTAAGATATATATTTTTAAATTACCTTTTTTATATACTTTTATATTATTATTTTTTTAAATATTTAAATCAATGTTTTTATCTGGTCATGTTACTTTTATAATATGCTTTCATTTTAATGAACCCATTTAAAAAAAAGTGAAGAGTAACATTTAGGAGAAGTAACCAATTAATTTAATGAAATCTTAGCTTTAATACGATAGCCAAACATCACCAAATATACCCATATAACTTCCCTTAACTCCACAGTGGCTGATTGAAAAACTAAAGGGAATAAGACTTCATTCAGAGCTTGATAAGAGAGTCTGTTCAGTGAAGGACCCATTGCTAGTCAATGTATCTGATGCCTCATTATACTGACATGCTAGCGAAAAATGTTCTGCTTTTTTATATTAGGCATTTAAAATGAAAATGAACATCAAACCAAATATTGGTGCCTGACAATTCCTTGTATCTCTACTTTGCTATGAAATAACTGATTCATTTTCATGGGAAGAGTGATGTCAACATGAGTAATGTTTTCCAAAGCAGAAAAAAAAATGATGCTGAAAAATGACATTGACTTCCTTTTTTTTCTGTTAATTAAAGTTCTTCACTAGAAACTGTAGCCAGTAAATGATGCCTGCCATACATACGTGAGGACAAAATATAGACCCAATTTTATCCTTAGGTCACTGACACTTGTAACTGTTAAATTTTTTTTTGCTATGAAATTGAATCTATGAAGTTCGTAATGAAAGAAAGGGAGAAAGAACAGCATCCAAAGAGTGTGATGTTCAATAGATCAAGAGGAGGTGATGATGGGAGAAATTCTGATATTTCTAAAATAAGTCTATTTCTCCAATAATACTATTCCAAATTTATGCTTGAGGAAAAGTTTAGTGCCCTAGGAATTTTCAACAGAAAGAGTGTATATTGACCTTTAGATTCCACTGCTTATAACAAATACAGTACAGAAATTAATTTAAAACACAGTTTTCCAAAACATCCACAATCTTATAACTAAATTTTATATTGAAATCTTCAACTAGTAGATAAGACCTTTGTGATTTAAAGCTTTAGGAAAGGTATCATCTAGATTTAAAATTCATATTGGATTTAAACAGCAGCAACATTACAAAAGGAAGATTTTGAAGATGACAGTTAAATTATACACATAAGTAAAAATAACATTGACAAAGACTCTCAAATTTGGCTGCATTTTAAGTGGAGGCTTATATCAATTACAAAGTAAAGGAGCCTTCTGACTTCTTTCAAATCCACTCCACAGCGAGAATCTGACAATAAAACAGGCATCCTACCTTGTCTTAGTTAATCTTACCAGTAGAGACGATGGGCGATCTGGATGCTTTGCAATGAGCGGTGTAATAGGAGTTGCACTAGAGGACTTTCAAGGTTCCATTCAAACTTGACAGCCTGAAGTAAGAGATATAATTACTTTACTCTTTTCTTTCTCAGTAACAAAATTATAGCAGGATGCAGAGGGACTTAAGAGGCTTGAGAAAAGACCAAGGAAAACAGCATAAACATTCTAACAAAATGTTAGTAATATATTTTGATAGCTTTATTCGCTGGTATATAACTCATAACAGAGCACACAACCTTATTTCCTTTCCTTATTTATGCTTGAGAATCACAGGAAAATAGAAAAGAGCTGGTGGCTGGTAGAATTCAACCGGGCCTAGGAGGAGAGTCCTAGCACAAGAATATAATATCACAGAACAGTCTTCTGGATATAAAAACGGCATTATTAAACAATAGATACTTCTACCCTTTTGGAGATGAAATTAATGCACAGCAACAGCCTTAAATGAAATCACCAACTGTATCAGTATTAACCTGCAGATCTTGAGATTTACTGACAGGTTTCAAAGCTGTTTGTTGCCACCATAACCCACATATTCCCAAATCTTTCCCTCATCTCCACTGTGAGCGACTCTCCTAAGGTTTTCTAGGATACCCAACCCGGTGGAAAACACAGAACATGATGGAAGCCCCTAATATCCTGAGAAACCTAATTCAGACCCCCACCTGCCCTCAGCAGGGGCTTCACTATCAGCAGTCAGTACCGGGGACTCCACCATCATCCCAGGAATCTGAATATACTGTAAAAGTAAAAACCGGGTTCTCTTCATAAAAATGCTCATTTCTGCTTGAGAGGCAAAGCCTCTATTCTTGGTTGCTCAATATGCAATTTAATTTGTGGTGTGCATACAGACACACACACACACACACACACACACACACACACACACTCAGAATTTAAGCCGGGTTTTATACCACAGTACAGACAGCAGAAAAATGCGAGTACATCATTCATTCACATGCACACCTGAAGAAACACTTCAATATGCTAACATCCTTGAGGATGGGAAAGTTGATGAATTCCTAAGGTGAGAGAGTGCTAAAGATGATTTCAGCAAATTTGCATAAACTCCTGCAGCTGTCTGAACGTGTAAAGATCATGATGTATGTTGTATTAAACTGTAGCTATGGCTTTCACTTACTTGCTGACTAGGTCATGGATTGTGTTTATGTCCTAATCGTGAGTACAGCCAATGAGCAAATGAGCAATGAGCATATGTGTCCCATATTTCCCTTCCATGCTTCCGTTTTTAGCTTTCTCTTTAGATTTCCCCATTATTTCTTCTTGAACTCAGTAATTACTTGGTGATCTGGAATGGCCTTTCTTGCTTCCAAACTCCCTGCATCAGTCTGTCTACAGATAAAATTTCCCCCTACATCCTGCCTTACCATCTAGGATATAGGCAATTTTCCAGGTGCACATTGCATTATTATGAACTCTGCTCTTGGAACCTACCTGCATGGTTATGACCTGTGGTTTGCAGTAAACTCTGGGGCTGTGTCTTATTGATTCCTAGCTATGAACCATATCTTCTGTTTTCATTGTGGTCACAGAGTCCTCTCTTACTGCCTTCACATAGTCTGCATACTTCTACACATACCAAAATAATATGCTTCCAGAAAATAAGCAACAGGGCAGGGCTTTTTTTTTTATGTCTTAGAAAGTTTTGAAGTCAGGGTAGAGCATGGAATTTTAAGGGTAAACTCCATAACAAATGTCTTAAAATTTTTCCCAGTTTTTATTTATTTTATAGTCATATTATACAGTTCTTCCCATCTCAAAACATTTTATAATATTCATTTTTAATTAGGCAATAGTTGCAACTTTACCTAATTTTACCTCTGTGTATTTGCTATGTTGGATTCCGTGTGTACTTTGTCTTAAAAATTTGAATTTGCAGATATATGGCTCTCAGTGATATTCCTAGTGCCAAGTGTGTTGATTCAGATTGGTGCCTTCAAATGGATTTAACCTGTATAAACTTTTGTAAAAACCTACTTTTTTGAGTTGTGTTAGATGTAACATGTTGCCCATACTCATGGGCCATAAGATGGATAGCATTCCTCCAAGTTGGACTAATCTTCATTTTCATTACACTATCCTGGTAAATCTAAGGAAGTAACAACTGTAAGAATTAGTGTAAGTAACTATGTGGTAGAGCTATTTCAAAACCAGCTCTCTTGGAGGCCTTCAGTGAAGTGCATTTTATTTGCAAAGTAATATGGTACTGAAGTCTAACAGTAGAGACTTTCCTCATCAGCCTCAGAGTTTCCAGTCTTAAATGTTAAAAAACTGAGATACCTGACATTTAAAATAGCTTGTAACTACAGCCTGGCCTTTAAAATAAGAAAACACCTGAGTTCAAAAACAACAACAAAAACCATAAAGACAACTATTTTAGACCTATTCAACATTTGATATACAGTCAGTTTGGAAAAAAATATTGTTTGTAGTTTGGATATTCAGTCATTTACATGTGTTTTGTAAAACATTGATTGTTTATATTTCAAAATATTCAGACTAAATCAATCTTCCTCATATTGGTAGGTAAATTTATATTATTTTCAAAAATTACTCCACCATTGTGATATTTGGTGTTGTCACTAAAATGTACTATTGTGGCAGAATTTGGGTACTATCTTATAAAACTACTTTTATAAGATTTATAATCAGTGTTAGAGTACTCTGAGGGAAAGCAAAAAACAAATTATGAGGAGCTGCCTAGCAAAGGGCTGCTTTCTATGTAACATTTATTTGGTTAGTTTTTTATTGTTTTACATATTCAGGTAAAAAGATTTCATCACAAGTATTCCTATTTTTTTTCCAATTCGAATTAATAAGTGAAGTTATCATTTTTTTAAAATCCTTTTTGACTCTTATGTGTCATTTTTTTGGTAACTGTACCAATTTTGGCTAGAGAACGTCTGCCTTACCCATGTTGATATATGAGCTATAATTTAGCCTCTTGACTGGCCAAATTGCAATATCACTTTAAGTTGTCTACTGTTGACTCACTGGAAACTTTTTAAGAGAATTATTAGTGAAAATCCTGGAATCCGTTGGCAACTCTGCTGTTCTTACCTGAACTAGCTGTGGGAGATAGTCCAGTAGTTCATCATTTAAGAGGTTGTCTAATTGTTGAACTGCCACTTTACGAATTTCTTGATCTGGAAAACTAATACAAAATAAATATATCTATTAAGCTGTTAATGGTATGAAATAATGCATGAGAAATATCTTGGAAACAGAATGAATTCTATCCTCAGTGCATAAAATAAAATAATAATCCCACAATCAAGTAAAATGAACATTAGTACCAAATAGTAGTTATTGTTCCATATCCTTTACTTTCATGTGGACTGCAGTATATAGTCCTTTTGACAAGGTTTTGGAAACTTGAGTTTAAAGTCAGATCCCTGCCAAGTTTTCTTATCTATAAAATGTGAATTATAGTCTATCTAAAATATTTTCTAAAATAGTATGAAAATCTTTGTTTTTAATTTAGCCATGCATTTATTAAGTAAACTATTATCAACCGGAGACATGATGGTCTATGTGACTAAAAATGGGATATAATATGTTTAAATGAGTTTTGGCCAGATCATAAGGAAAATCAGAACTAGAAGGTATCTTATAATAAACAAAAATAATTAAATAAAGCTAAATCTTACTAGACTATGAGTTCTTGAGGGAAACTGTGACTTATTCATTTTTGGACTGCATATGCCTGTTGTAAGATTTAGCACCCATTAGACACTTAATAAATGTTTGTTACTGAACTAAATTTATGGAGGTATTTAGCATTTGAAATCCTATTCCAAAGACAATTTATCCGCAAATGGGCTCCTCAGGTCGACATCATTCATCTTGCTCCATCAGTAGAAATAGATTCAATTATCTCCGAGCTCCTGGAAATGCCTAGAGATAACTTTTGGCACCATACTGCCTTGACATGATTTTCACATACTGCTTTGATGTGATTAAATATATAACTGGGGCTTTGGTTACAACAATTAATTTTAAGTAAACAAGTTTTCGAAAAAATCAATATGCATAATTTAAAACTTGAACTACTTATAGTCACTTTGAAAAACAAAGAAATGAATAAATAAATAAAACCCTACAATTGTTTTGTATGGGAGCTAACTGAATGCTTTTCAACTAGTCAGGTGAGAGCTCTGAAGATTGGCTCCCAAAACTATGGAGGTCAGAAAGCTTTCAAGTCTTTAATATCCAGTCTCTCTTCACTATTTCAGGTTACTGAAAGGTGAAATGAATACTATACAGCTACAGTGTAAAGGGAAAAAGTGGAACTACTTAGTATCTCTCGACTCTCCTTGATGGCAATTTGAAATGTAATGCTTAAACAGGTTACATATTTTTTATTCATTTAAACGGAACCTTTTAATTGCAATAAGAATGTCACTTCAAAGGGTCGTCACTCAAAACCTTTGTTTCTGACTGGCAAATACTTTTCCAATAATTTTCTCTCTTTGAACGTTCTAGTAATGAGACCTAGTGAGAACTGTAGTCCAGTCACTTCTCATGAAGTACCATGAAGGTCAGAAGATCTCAGCATAACATCAAGCACACATGGAGAGCAAAAAGGGTGCAATAAAAATGCAAAGCTAGAAGAAGGTCAAACTGTTTTACCACACTAAGACTTTATTTTCTCTTAACTAAAATGTGACTGACTCTAATTTATTGCTCTCAGTTACTAAACCACTTTTCTGAAGCTTGCAGACATCAAGGTCAGTTTGAGGACAGTTTGAAGTCTTAGAGGGAATACTTATTTGGCACATTTTGTTGCCTAAGTGATGACTTAAGTCAGATACTAGTAACCCATGCTTTCTGTGTTCCTATTTTATCCTATTGATAAGAATGACAACAAAGAAAGAAAAATAACAAGCAAACATCATGACAAAATAAAACTCTTTGATCAACACTATACCTCTAATTATGTATTTGTTTCCAAAGACTAAAATGTAAACTGCAAGAAAGCAGAACATTTTTGCCTGTTTTGTTCATGGTTATGAACCCAGTGCCTCCAGATTGGTGGGCACACTTTACATGCTTCTTTGAAGAGTGTCCGAACTAAATTATCTTTCCACCTAAAACATCTCTACTGTCAGATTTTTTCTCTTGTACTCTGTGTTAGCATCTTTCTCCAATCACATAGGTCTAAAACTTTAAGAGTTATATTTTCCCCCTCTTTTGTCCTCACCATTAATTGTTTTTCTCTCTTTCCCATCTGGCAAATTCTATTTATCCTTGAAGTCAAAGCTCAAGCATCAATTTACCTGTGAAGCTGTTCTATGTGACTTTGTAGTCCACGTTGTAGTCCCTGTTGTTTATCGCACCCTTTTCTATGGGATATAACATTATGTACATGGTTGAGGGCAGGCTCATTCATTTATAAATTCTTTGTGCAAGCACAGTTGAATAAAAGTTTTTGGAATTTCCAGTAGTCTCTTATCCATATATCTAACTAGTTGTCAAGTTCTGTTGACTTCTGTTCTAATGGCTCTAGCATCATGCCTGATTGTAGTTGCTTCAGCAACTATCTAGTCTGGCCATAATGATCTCATGCTGGTATAAACATTTTTCAGAGCAGCACCTTATATTTCCTAAATTATTTGAAGGTTCACTTCTCATAAAACATTGAATGGTTTTCTATTTCCAATGGGTCTCTTTTCGGCCCATCTGTACTATATTCAAGGCTAGTTGAACACTTCAAATTTTTCTACGCCTGTAATACTGAATAAACTGCTCTGGTTCATTGGTATGTTATTTTTACTCTGAAAATGCCAGTGTGCATTCTTACCATTGTGAGCACTGTAACCTCTTCTTGGCCTATGCTCCTTTCTCATCTTAAAGCTCTAGTCTTCCTTCAAAATAGGGACCAAATACTCTTAAGGTAACTATCCCAATCTTTAGTTATCAGTTCTCCTAATTCCGAGGGCATTGACTGGCTGACTCCACTGGTCAATTAGGATCTGCTAGTGGGCATTAGGATTTATCTTCTTATATGCGTCATTGTTTCTCAACTAATGAATAATTCAACTGAGGATAAGGATTGTTCCATCTTCTTCTTTTTTTTTTTATTCCTAGGATTTAGCACCATGCTCTGTACATGTTGGGTAATTAATAAAAATACATTGACCATGATGATAATAATAAGGAAAATCATATTATGAAGCCCACTTTATTGTTTTGCTGTGCACTGAGATAATTTAAATAGGTAGCAATAGGTTTAATTCCACAAATACCACCCATAAATTCCAGATTTTTTTCCTCTCTCAGTTGAAACGGTAAGAGAAAAACAAATCTGAAGGCAATGGAAAAGAAGAAAGCATTTTTTTTTCAGACTCCTTCAGGAACAGGAAAACAAAAAACTGATATCTGTATAGTATAATTCAAAACAAAAATTATATATTTGTGTTAATATGTACAAATGCCAGAAAGCATGTTTTTGCACCATAATGGAAAGTGATGTCTCTTTTTATTCACTGCTGTTGCTTGAGGTTCAGAAAGAAATTGGAAGAAAAATTGCTAAGAAGCTAACCACAGCCTGAAATGTGATGCAGGCCTAGCACATTAAAGCATATCCAAATATAACTTACATTTGACTATTTTAGGGAGAGTTGGCCACATTAAAAGAGATGCTGGCAGTGTTGGTGAAGTTCCTGAGAAATGGGCTCTTTCATACATTGATGGCAATATATAGCAATGTGAGCTAAAAAAAATTTAAATGTGCTTATTCCTTATCTAGCAATTTTACTTTGGGGAATTTATTTTAAGAAAATAATCAGATATATGTGAGGATATACCACATGTATGTAAGCAAAACTGGCCATGATAGAAATGTCTAAAAATAAAAAGTTAAATATGCAATGACCATATGACAGAATATATGCACTTATTAAAAATACTAAATGAATAATGAAAAAAAAACATTAATTAAAAACAAAAAAATAATGCTGTATAATACCATTACACATATGTATATTTCTCCATACATTTCAAAATAAGTTGCAAAGGATCAAAATATTAATGTCAAATATCTGAATGGAAATTTCATGGATGACTATACTTTTCTTTTTTAAGCTTAGTTTTTAAAGTTTTTCAAACTTTTTATATGAAAGTTTATTACTAAAAATAATTTTTTTAAAAGTAAGTCCATTCTACTAATTATGAAAATATAATATTTGAAAAAAGCTTCAAATCATATGTCCTTGTCAGAGTGCACATCATTGTGTGAAAAAATAAGAATTGTATTTTCAAGTTGTCCTTGAATATTTTTCTGATATACTAGGCCCAAATAGGGATCTCTGATTCTGGAGAATTTATTCTTCATACCTTTTCAGGGCCCTGAACTCAGATCATTGGACAAATATGTGCCACAAACCCTGACATCTCTTCCCTGGGATGTTTTCTGAAACTACTTAAACATTCTTTTGGGATATAGCTGTTGGCATTTCATGCTCAGTAACTCATTCCACAATGAGGTGAGGGCTACCCATATTAGTTCCCTGACTTTGGTGTGATATTTACAGACTGAAATGTCATATGTAGCAGAGGCACTGCAACCTGTATTGAACTTTCCACAAGTCAGGTAATTGTATTTTCCAATGACCTGATTTGCTTGAAAAATACATATAATTCCTGAGAATAAACCAGGAGCCACTCTTTAGAGATTCTGCTAACCTTGTTATTGTAATTACTCTAGGCATGAACATTATACCTTGAGTTTTGGGGAGAGATAAAAGTATTGTTAGAAAATTCATCAGGCTGATATCAACGAAGTCATATATTTACATGTATAAGAAATTTCCTTATAGTCAATCAGAAAATAGATTATTTATAATGTAATAAATGGAGATTTATCTGGTTTGACATATTGAAAAGATACAAAGTTAATAAATTCCCATTGTTGGGGAGGAGATTATGTAAGGTGAGAGCAATTTTTATTTATTATGGAAAAAATTTAATTTGGCTTAATAAGAGTCCAAGGGAAAGAATGCCTTCTTTAAAGTTATTCATCATTTTTAAATGTTCATTTAAGAAACTTTGTGTACCTACTGTAGTTTCCCAAGCATGTCAGAATAGGGGAGCAAAAACAATTATGTTCAAAAGCAAAACATCAGACTGGCTTACTGTTCAGTTTTATACGAG